CTGCAGCAATCAGTTGCAGTCTTCCAGGAGCTGGAAGGATGACTCAACAATTAAGAGCCCTTGCTGCTCTTGTGTAGAATCCAAATTCAGTCCCAGCACACAATTTGGCCAGCTCATAGAGTCCTGTAACTCCAGCTCCAGCTTCAGCTCCAGCTCTAGCTCCAGGGATTTCATTCTGTCTTCTGATCTCCGTGTGCAACTACACTCACATGCATATACCTCCTACACACCTGAACATACATAGAGGTACACATAGGATAACCCTTTTATGTTACATTTTTATTTTGAAATTAAAGTATTAAACTGGAAATAATATCAGACAAGAAGGACTGAAAACTAAAGCATGCAAGGGATTTTGATGTACAGCCATTGACACTGGCTCCCAAATGTCTCAGAAAATTGTCAGCTCCTTCAATCACTTAAAATGCCTCTTGACACAACTTCTTGATTTCAATATTTAATCTGAAGAGGAAATTGAAAAAATGTATTATTTTAGCTTTTGGAAAAACATGGCAACCATTACAATCTGTTGGACTAAGTAAGAGATCAACACAAAGGAAATAGAAAACAAAAAGGGAAGTAGCATTTTGTAGAACCAGCTTATGTCAGCAACTTGCTACTACAATTTCAAGTTAAACTCACAATCATAAATATAAGATAACACTTTTATAAAAGGAATAGGAAAGAGAGAGAGAGAGAGAGAGAGAGAGAGAGAGAGAGATCATGTGGAATATCCAACAAAGTCCAGGAGAATAGTTCAGTGGAGCCTCATGGAAAGTGCTACAGAGAGCTATTAGCAAATTATGATTCCACAAAGGATTTCAGAGAGCTACAAAGTAGAAGAACAATTATTTCTTCCTTTCTTCAGTGTTACTTTTTCATTCACTGCTTTTGTATTGTGTTTAAATTTTGACATCTCCAATGTTTTTCATTCCTCCTTACTCTTCTATCTGTGGGAGGTGCTGGATATTCCTGAGAAACTGGAAAGAGAAGAAACATCTCTCTTATCTTCTTAATGAGAGGACCACTTAAAAAGCATGAAAAGTAATGCAACCAGTGGAGTTAGTACATAGTCACCTCATAGTATAAATGTGCACATCTTTATTTATCTATTTATTTTTTAATATGTCCCATGTTTACACCTAAGAGATCTTCCAATGGAAAGCTCTATCCAGCTATTTTTGGAATGCTTCCCTACTGAAACACATAGTCCAGTGTTTCATTCCTTCTTCCCTCCTGGTTAAAACGCTGCTTTCATCCTTGTCTATAAAGCAGATTAACTGTTGCTTCCTTTTGTCACTGACTTATGATCACCCCTCAATGTGCTTCATTTCACACTAGAAAATAAACCTTTGCATCCTTCAGTCAATAGAGGGCAGCATAAAGACTTCAAAACATGTTTTTCAGAGTCCTCCTTCCTGATTAGCATCCTTGGGTGTACAGATTTTAGCATGTTTATCCTATTTTATATGTCTAAGATGCTCAATCCCCATTCAGAAAGGCAAAGACATCAGAGGAGGGATAAAACAGGAAACAGGACAGGAGCCTACCACAGAGGGCCTCTGAAAGCCTCTACCCTGCAGGATATTGAGGCAGATGTTGAGACTCATAACCAAACTCTGGGAAGAGTACAGAAAATCTTATGAAAGAAGTAGGAGATAGTAAGACCTGGAGAGGACAAGAGCTCCACAAGGACAGTGACAGATCCTAAAAGTCTCGGCACAGGGGTATTTTCTGAAACTGGTTCTCCAGCCAAGGACCACTCATGGAGATGTCCTGGAACCCCTGCACAGAGCTAGCCTATGGCAGTTCAGTATCATATATGGCCTCCCATAGTAATGGGAACAGGGACTGTCTCTGACATGAACTGATTGATCACCTCCCCCAGAGGGGGTAGCAACCTTACCAGGCCACAAAAGAAGATAATTCAGCCACTCCTGATGAGACCTGATAGACTAGGATCAGAAGGAAGTGGAGGAAGAACTCCCTTTTCAATGGACTGGGAGAGGGACATGGGTGGGGAAGAGGGAGGGTGGGATTGGGAGGGGAGGAGGGAAGGAGGTACATGGGGGATACAAAGTGGATAAACTGTAATTAATAAAAATAAAAAACCCAAAGCAAAACATGTTTTCCTTCATTTTCCATGTTTCCAGTTCAAATCTCCCACTTGTCACTATATTTTGTTAAAATAAGTATTTTGTAATCAACTAAATATATATATATATATATATATATATGTATGTATGTATGTATATATATATATATATATTACTTAATGACTAAATGCCATTCTGCATCTGTCAAGAGCTTTTGGGTGGGTACAGAAGGACCCTGAGATCAACTCAGGAATGATCAGAGACTGAGGGTGAGACCCATACGCTTAGCTGAGGCTCCCAGTCTCACCAGCAGAGGTAGAAATGAGTTTTTCAGTGGGAGATACACTTAACTGTTTTTTTCTTTATTCATTTTATATCCCTATTATAGACAATGTCGTTCATACCTTCCTTATCTCACGTTCCTTCCTTCATGCCCCTCTCCCCATCCCCAAATCCACTGAGAGGTGGAGTTCTCCTTCACTGCCATCTGACCCTAGCTTATCACAGCTCATCAGGATTGCCTGGATCCTCTTCTTCTAAAACTCTGTGATGATACCAGAGTGTTACAACACCTTGATTAAGTCATTGTATTAATGGTAGCAGCACAGGTGCTGGTGCCTGGTCAGCTAGCAGCCAAAACAAGGGACTGACAAGGCAGCTGGAAGGTAGGTCCAGTGAAATGTAGGCTCATCAGGTGCTTTGCAGGTGGTAAGCACAGAGCTTGCAGTCATTGGACAGGCTCTAGCAGTGACTGAGGCAGCTATGGTGTGGCCTGGATGGAAGTCAAGCCCAAGGAGTTCTGCAGTGAATTTACAAGAAGTAGGAGAGGTCTTCCTTCCTCAGAATAAATTACTAATCTCAGACTGTCATGGTAAAAAAACTGATGGCAGCATATAGCACATTTATTTCATGTGAAACCAGAGTCTTATAAACCTTAAGCAGTGGGAGGGTTTTTTTTAATTTTTATTTTATTTTATTTTAATTACACTTTATTTACTTTGTATCCTCCCTCTAGTTCCCTCCCTCCTCCGCTCCCAATACTTCCCTTCCTCCCTCTTCTCCATGCATGTCCCTCCCCAAGTCCACTGGTAAGGAGGGTTTCTTTTTCTTCCTTCTGATCCTAGTCTGTTAGGTCTCATCAGGAGTGACTGCATTGTCTTCCTCTGTGGCCTGGTAAGGCTGTTCCCCCATCAGAGGGAGGTAATCAAAGAGCAGGCCAATCAGTTCATGTCAGAGGCAGTCCCTCTTCCCATTACTATGGAACCCACTTGGACACTGAACTGCCATGGGCTACATCTGTGCAGGGGTTCTAGGTTATCTCCATGCATGGTATTTGGTTGGAGTATGAGTCTCAGGAAAGACCCCTGTGTTCAAATTTTTTGGTTCTGTTGCTCTCCTTGTAGACCTCCTTTCCTCCCCAGATCTTACTATTTCCCACTTCTTTCATAAGATTCCCTGCATTCTGCCCAAAGTTTGGCCATAGGTCTCAACATCTGTTTCGATAGTCTGCAGGGCAGAGCCTTTTAGAGGCCCTCTGTGGGAGGCTCCTAACTTGTTTCCTGTTTTCTTCTTCTCATTTCTATCCTCTTTGCCTCTCACAATGGGAATTGATTGTGGGAGGGGTTTTAAGGGTAAATGTTTTTAATTTGCTGGGGCTAATGATGCTAGGGATGGGATCCTTCATTTACATGTAGTGGAACAGTCCTATTGTAAAAAGGGGAACATAGTACTTAATTATTTTATGGGTGGTGGAAGAACTCCAGGTACAGTTAAAGGCCATTGGTTGAAAGACAAAACACTAAGATATCTCATTAGAATAGGGTGGGTATTTCCAGAAATCCCCAGGTACTTGCTGTAATGGTTTCTTATCAGGAAAGGTTAGGGCTTGTAATCTCCCTCAGCTATGTGCTGTGCCTTAGAAGCTTAGGGGTTCTACAGATCAGGCAAGGAGAGAACCCAGTGGAGAAAGGCAGTCTGTCATCTTAAACCAAACTCAGAGGCTATCCAGAAATGTCAGACTTTGTCCTTAATATCAGGGTTTCACAACTAAATATTAGTACTTTGTTAATATTGTGAAAATAACTAAGATGATGATAATTATGAAAACAACAATAATATATTTCTATGTGTGCATTGGTTGTATTATCAAGTCTATACAATTTACGTGACATTTATTTAGTCATTATTTTTTCTTTCCTCACTGAGGAGAAGAGGTTAAATAACTTAAGAAAGGTCTCAGAGTTCCTAAGGCAGACAGCAGGATTCCTATCCATGTTTCTCACCTTAAGACTTAACATTTTGTCCATTAAAGTATTCCTCACTATCAACTTTAATTTAAGATTTTAATGACCTTGAAATAGTGTTTCATATCTGAAAGAAAAGTTTTACTAGCTATCACTTTTCAAATATAATATACCTTGTTTTTCTTCACTGTTATCTACTTTATTGCCAAAGCAGAAGATAAAATGTGAAGTGTTACCACCACAGGATTCAGAGAGTTTCATTCTACTACATAATTTTCTTATTCAAGGAAATTAGAAATCAGAAACATGAACTCATACAATCTATATTTTCTTTTTATTCCTTGAATAAATAATAAAAAAGCTTACCTGCAAATGTCCTGTGTTTATAAATTTCACAATCTATATTATTCTTACTGAAAAGTATTTAAATTATTTGCTAAGGTATGAAAATGAGATAAAACATATATAAAGATTAGCAAACATGTTTGAATATTCTAGGATGTGTTACATTATAAAGTATACACATTGTTAGATATTCTGTCAGAAATCTTGACTCAAATTGCTGGCTGTCAAGTAATATTTATTGTTGCTGAAATTAGCTCTTTTGCATGTGTTTCTTATATTTTCTATCTTCTTTTCTTCTTTTTTTCAAAATCACTAGCTTCTAGTCAGACTGTTGCTCTAGTGACACAACCTGTGGTTACCAAGGAAACTGCCATCTCCAAGTTAGAAATGCCATCTTCTTTGATATTGGAGTTACCTGCTCTGGCAGACTTCAACCAAGCGTGGACAGAACTTACAGATTGGCTTTCTCTGCTTGATCGAGTTATAAAATCACAGAGGGTAATGGTGGGTGATCTGGAAGACATCAATGAGATGATCATCAAACAGAAGGTATGGAATCCTTTAAATAATAAATAGAAAGTCTGCCATTCTTTTCTTTAAAGTGCATAGCCTCACTTGCCACTTCCTTCTTCTTTATAATTCACTACCAGTTTCAAGGCTACCATTTCTCTCTAAAAAAAAAAAATAAATAAAAAAATAAAAACAAAAAAAAACACCACTATTCATTTTGTTCTGTTTAACCTAAATATGATCAAGGACATGAATTAATAGAATTATCTGAAGTAACCACAATGTGAAATGTAGAGAGGAGTGAAAGTGAAACATATAAACCTTACAAGTAGAAGTGACTCAGTTAAATTCACTATATAACTGCTTTTAAAATTGTTTTTGATAGAAACTTCTTAACTTCATTGAGCTGACTACATTTAAACTGTTTGTTTAAAAGTACTATGCACCCACAACATATTACAAAGACAAAGATAATAATCTAGGACTTTTTTTATTAACTACTCTTCTGAGATGTCTGTGCCAGTTTTCTACCTCAAGTGATAAGAATAATTGAAAGTTAGAAACAGATAAGACAAGTAACCAAATATAACATTTTAAATATCCTAGATATCAATATCAGGTTTTATGCTGCATCATATTAAAATAAACACATTTTAATAATACAGCATCTCATTTTTTCACCCTCATTATGATCCATTTTTGTTGAAATTGTAGTTGTTGATCAACTAGAAACTCAAGAATGTATTGCTATAAATATGGTTTCCTAGATGCTACAACTGTACTACATGTTTGTTTTTTTATATTTCTCCATGGGTAAGAAATGCAATTTTGAAAGCTTTTGGAAATGATGGTCATTTCACCTGTTAAAAACATTGAAAAATATCTAAGGCAACAATAAATTATACTGAACATGTGTCTTAGGGTTTTATTGCTGTCAAGAGGTACCATGACCATGGCAACTCATATAAAGAAAAACATTTTAAGGGGGCTGACTTACAGTTTCAGAGGTTTAGCTCATTATCATCATGGCAAGAAGTATGGCATCATGCACGCAGACATGGTGCTGCAGGAGGAGCTGAGAGTTCACATCTTGATCTGCAGGTAGCAGCAGGAGTTTTGTGCCACACTGGGCAAAGCTTGAACATAAAAGACCTCAGAGCTTATGTTCCTGCTGACACAATTCCTGCAGCAAAGCCACACTTACTCTAAATGGCCATACCTTCTAATAGTGCCTCTTCCTATGGACCTAGCATTCACATACATGAATCTAAGAGGGCTGTTCCCATTCAAACTAACAAAATATGTTTCTATGCTACACAATTTTCATTATCTATTTTCTTTTGAAAGACAAGGAGGAAGCATGTCAAATCAAGGGGTACTTTAGCAATTCATAAAATGAACTTGATTATTTAAAAACAAGTAGCATTTAAACTACCTTGAAGCTGATGTGGTGGTTAGTAATCACAGGAAGATTTCGAGTTCAAGGCCAGCCCATATTGTAGAGAAGACCATATCAATATCAAAACAAAACAACTTTTTAAAAATACTCTGTACTCATAGGAATCAAATTAAGTGGGCATTGGTACTTAGTTACAAATGATATGACCATACTTAAGACATTCTTCTAATGCTTGTGAATGTACAGTACACAAAAATCTCTTTATTCACACTTATCATATTGTCATGAATATTTATATATTAAAGATTTAAATATTATACATATGACTTTTTCAGTAGCTTTTTATAACATATATTTGTAACCACACTTACTTTTCAGTAAAAGCCAGCTGAGGCTCATAGATACCTCATATATCTAGTAGATACCAGAAGAAATGTTCTGATTCTCATGTGAATCTCAAGCCTGTATTCCTTCTTATCTGTAGTAATAACTGTAACTGTAGTCAGAATTTAGTGATGTATATGTGTTTTTATACATAGTCTAGGTCAGCCACTTTGCTGAATATTTTGCATTTGCCCTGGGATATGCAGAAGTATTATATTATCAACACTTATATCATTCATTATATCAGCATTTCCAGGACTATAATTTATTATAGGAGGCAGGATGTTATAATCCTTAAAGTGCAGGTTTTGTATATTTGACTCCAGTCATACAGCTGTGAAATCTTAGATAAATTATTCCACTTCGATAAACTTCAGATTACTTACTTGTAAGATGTATACATATCTTTGAACCTTCAGCTTACTGAGAATTGTATAGGGCAGTATATGAAAATGTTTCCCTCCACTGGTTGTTTGTAACCTTGACTGATTGTTTATGGAGCCTGTACTAAAGATTGTCTCTGGAGTCTGGAGTAGTCTCTGCTGGGTTTACTATCTGTTCTAGGCTCGCTTTTTTTGGCCCAGGTATGTCAGGCAGTTGTAGCGCAGGCAGAAAATTATCTGTGCCTAGAGCTGCTCCAATGCCTCACTGGCTTCCTTGAGATCTTGGAGAATGACACTTGAATCCGATGCTTAGCTCAGCTCCTCCGTGTTCACTGTCTGTGCTGTGCTGGCTGATTTTGACCTGGGTGATCTAGACAGCTGGGGATCAGAATGGAGCCTCACCTCCCCCACAATACCAGAATGTGTCCCCTCCACTGGGCAGTGAGAGTGAGAACCACTAGCCTCTGCAACCAGCAAAGTGACCTAAGGACATTGAGAGTGGGAGCCCAGGTTTGGAGCCTCACCCGCAGTGAGAGTGAGCGCCGAAGCTGCCAGATCCTGGAAGGTATCAACAGAAGGTGGGCTTGGATTGGTGACCTAAGGCTACAGATTCAGAGCTGCATACATTTAAAAGGTTGGAATGGGAAAAAAAAAATAATACAGGAGTAGCATCTTAGTTACTCTTTTATTGCAGGAAAGAGACACCATGACTAAATCAACTCTTATAATAGAAAATAAATATGAGGGTAATTTAGAGTTTCAGAGAGTTAATCTATTATCATCATGATGGGAAGCAGACAGGCATGGGGCTGGAGGATAACTGAAAGTTTCATGTGCTGTTTCATAGGTAGCAGGCAGAGAAAGAGACTAGGTTCCAAAGCCCATTTCCAGTGAAACACTTCCCCCAACAAGGCCATGTCTACTCCAACAAGATCGGCTCCTAAAACATTCCAAATAGTCTACCAAGTGGGAACTAAGCATACAAATAAATGTATGAGCCTATGTTTGCTGATCCTATATTAACTAACATAGATATATTTTAGAATAATATCTAAAACCTATTTTTCACTTATAATATACCAGTCACTTATCTAAATATGTATTGTGTGGTATTTAATATTTAAAATAATACAAGAAAATGAATACAATTACACAGTTAAATACTGTACCCAAGATCAAAGATGAAAAAGACCATGGTGGGATTCAAACTCAAGGAGTCTGGTCCAGAGTTTTTATATATCCCTGGATTTATTTGGGTAGTAATCTTAGGACTTACTCCAGTAAAAATTTTAAACAAGAGAACACAATAAGGAATTACTTCTTTAAGAAGGCAAGCCAAAGCTGGCTAGATCATAAAAAAAAAATTATGTATCTAGCATACCTGGAAGTGAAAATGTCTTTTAAAACACATGATCTTATATATGTCAAAAGCATGAATTTACCCGAGTGCTGCTTTTCATAGCAGATAGACCCTGGTTTCACACAAGAACTACTGCCGATGCATGTGAGCTAAGGCCATATGATAACTGTAAAACACTTTCTGACTGAGGTAGATGATCTTAGTAAAATAAGAATGTGTTTCCTTGGACACAAGAGAATGCTCTGTTAATGTTTTGAACTTAGTTTTCTTATTTGCTGATAAACCAATTAAGGGAAATTCACTAGTCAATTTGCACTTCAACTGGGCACAAAATATTTTTTAATATCCAATAGTTGAAAATGGAGGAACACTGAAAATACTTAACACTTTTTATAATAAAAAAAATCTTTAATGCTCTGTACTTTCATAGCAATTACATATCGCTGTTAACCTTGAATTTAGATTAGGTAAAGTCATTAATTACACTTCTGATCTTTACCGTAAGAATTATGTTGCTATAGATACTTTATCTTAATAGGTAAATTTGTATCTTTTAGATAAAGAAGAAATTAATAAATTACAGCAAATTACAAAGTAGGTAATCACAGCCTCTCAGAAATGGTAACAAAGCTTTTTATGACTGTCAGAAGGTTTATTATCTTAACAAAATCCCGTATTTACTACATCAGAATTTCCATGCCATTCTTCACAGAACTAGAGAAAATAATTCTAAAATTCATATGGAAACACTGAAGAACACAGTTCACCAAAACAATTCTAAGTAAATATATATATGTGGAAATATAAATATATATATATTTAGCAGAAAGTATCATAGTATTTGACTTTAAATTATACAACTGAGACATAGTGACAAGGGCAGTGTAATACTGACACACAAAAAATAACTTTTACCTGCAAATTTCATGATTTCCTTGTTTTTAATTGCTGAGTAGTATTCAATTGTGTAAATGTACCACAATTTCTGTATCCATTCCTCCATTGAGGGACATCTGGATTATTCCCAGGTTCTGGCTATTATGAATAAAGCTTCTACTAACGTGGTTGTGTAAAAAAAAAAAAAAAAAAAGAAAAGAAAAAAAAGAAGGCAAGCCAAACAAACACTGAAGAAGAGGTTAGAATTAATCATTAAAAGGAAATGGAGACAGCAAAAATAGAAGAAACATTATTCTTTACTAGAAAATAGGTGAATGCCACTTGTTGCAAAAGTTATGATTGAATGTCACTGAAGATTATGTCATGAAAAAATAATAATAAGGCTGAACAGATAAAAGTAAGACTGAACAATGGTGGGTCCCTTGCCAAAGAGACTTTTTGATAACCTTGACATGTGATGACTATCATTAAAGTATTTTAAACAGGAAAATAATATCAGAAAATATAATTTGTTTAGTTGTCTATCAGGATTCTTTGTGTGCAACCAACAGAAATCATTATGTGGTTAAATAAAGCAATGTAAAAATAAGCATTAGCATCAAGGCAAGGCAACAAA